GCCGGGCGCCGTCCGACTGAGGAGGCGGAGAGCCAGGCGCGGCCGCACGGGGAGCGGGGGGACACAGGCGCGGCTCCTTGAAGAGTCGGAGTGAGGTGGGGGCCGAGCCCCGTGCCGGGGTGGGGGAGAGCGGTCCCATGAGGAGGGGAAGGGGGGAGCCAGGCGTGTCCTCGTGTTCGCGGGGTGTCTGGGGGCGAGGCCCAGGTGCTTCCCCGTGCGAGGCCCGTTCTGCGCTCAGCTGGGCCGGGAGGGTCGTCCCTCAGCGCGGGGAGAGCTCTGGGAGCTGGGCTGAGCGAGGGTAGCCCCGTGGGCAGCACGGTGCCTGGGCCCGGCCCTGCTGCTCCTGCGGGGGGGGCCTGCCCGACAAGCAGATCAAGCGTCCCTTCCCATTGTGCCCTTCACTTCTACAGGAGCAGCGCACAGGAAGGAACTCGGCAAACCACGGTGGTAACATGAAACCAACATGGTGAGGAAGCTGGTGGGGTTGGGGGCCCTTCGCGTGCCCCTGCATGCTGCCATCCCTGCAGGGGAGGGAGTGTGGGCAGGCTCTGGTGATGCTGGCTGCCCCAGTGGTTACTGGAAGATGCCTGGCAGTCCCTGGAGGCGGATGGGCTCGTGGGTCTGCAGACCTGGACCATGACCAACAACCTTCCCTGGGGTTTCCAAGTAGAGCTTGGATTGGGAGAGTGGTATTGATGCCTGTGCAGTTTTCGGCTACTCTGAATTTAAACTGGTGCCAGGCTCAGTGCCCCTCCATCTTAAAGCTCTGAATCGGCAAGGCCCCCATTTTTCTTCCCAGCAATATGTTTTAGTATGCACTGCCTTTCTCATTTCAGTCTGTCTTGCTGCGTTTCTGCTCCATCTGCTTTTCCTCCCTTCAGGTTCACCTGGCTTAACTTGGTATTTTGGAGCTTACAAAGCTGAATTCCAAGATTGGCCTTTGCTAATGAAGCACTGAATGACGCCAGAGCAGTGTGGGCTTGGGTCTCTCTTTATTCTTAATGTAATATTTCTATAGTTGGCAGGCCTATTTGTGTAAAGTTAGTTGGTAGCTTGTCTCACAAAATAATATACTATAATGTCCTGTGCAAGTCTTTTGGACTGAACTGTCATCTACAGCTGATATACTGACCTGTGTGTGTATGGCCAGAGTTTCAATGGTGAAAAATACTGTATTCTTGTTATATATCACTGAACTAAGACTTCCATTTCCCTTTTACAGAGATACTGTCAGGAACTTGGAAGCGTTTAGATACATTGGTTATTAGATGTTGTCACTATAACTCAAAATAAATCTACTAGGGACATCCTAATCCTGTGTAACAGTTCCTTGTTACTGAGATCGAGAAATATTTTTCTCTGGCCGGGTTAGTTCAGCACTAACCTAAGGGAAGTGCTTTGTTTTAGAGATGGAAGGAAAGTGGCACATTTTGGAAAGTGTGAACTCTGTATATAGCAAGCTAACATTGGGTTGCTGTTTCAACTGTGTAAAACTTTTGTCAATGTTTTGAATTGTCCTAGTGCTAATTTTTCTTCTAATAGCATCAGAGAGTGTTTCTTGCACACACCACAACCCCCCCAGCTTTTTCAGCACAGCCATTTCCAGATGTGTGGATGAGCAGCCTATGCCATCCTGGTTAGAGCCTGTTAGGTAGATCTGAAGTGTCCTTTTCATGGCATTGCCTTTGTTTTCTGTCTAATAAGGACTTTTGGGAGAGCAGCAGAAGTGATCCTTGGCCCCTTGAGGGGGAAGTTGATGTATATGAGTTTATTACCATAGGAATCTCTGATGACCACAGGAGTGGAAAGGGTAGGATGTACTGGTAGGGCCCTCTTCTGAACGGCGTGCCTGTCTTTCCTAGGTTAGTTTCTACTCTGGTTATCCAGCAGGCGGTTCCGCGTGTTTCTTGTATAGAAAAAGAGCAAGTGAGCACGATTCACTGTTGTTATGAGAAAGGGGACAGTTTCTAGGATCAGCTTTCAGTGACCCGGAGTTTTGGTTGTGCCACCTCCTGTGTGTAGCTTCACAGTTGCTTTAAGCTTGTGTAAGTATAGACTGCAACCAACAGGAGGTTCTTGTCCTGTTGCTGGTGCCAGCTGGGTGTTTGTGCAGATGGGAATTGGAGTTCCCTGATTTATGAACTGATCAAACTGAAGACAAACTATGACTTTTTTTTTTTCCTCCCCAGCTTTGTGGGTGCTTAAATCATTTTGCTGGTGCAAGGGCAACGGTAGGAACATGGGGCTGATGGTGGAACAGAGTCTTATTCTTGTTCAGGGTAACCTGCACTGTGACTGTGAAACAGTGCAACAAGGTGTTTTTATATATTTAGTTATATAAAAATATGATTTTTAAATATGTATTTACATATATTTAAAAACTAAATGGAACAGTATCATCCATGCTTCTTTCCTGCTACTCTTGTGAATAGTGTCATTGTGTGCTTCATCATCAAGATGACAGTACTGGACATGTCCTTCTTACAGAAATATTCTAGAAAGTAAAATTAGATGTGCTTTGCGATCCTCTCTCATGGCACCTTGTGTAAGTTGACTGACTTGCAAGTTAGTCTGTATTGTATTATGCATAGTGAGAAGTCAAGGTTAGAACATCAAGCCCTCAGAGGTCAAAAAATGCCCAGGCTGAAGTAGTACCTGCACCTTTAATCAGTTAATTAGTGTTCTGACCAAGCATTATTTCTTCTTAATCGCGCACTGCATGCTGTTCTCATCCCATCTGAGCTGCCTAGTTTGTTTCTTCTCTCCTTTCCTCCTTCATGCATGGATCTTACTAATTTTGGGTAGAATTATCAAACTCTGAAAATGTGACCTTGTTAAGCTTGACTAGTGCGAGATGACAAGCCCTGTACAAGCTTGGAGCTGTTTGTTGACCGCCTGCATACAGGACACGGACTCTTTGGTTCAATGGATCACCAAATGTTTGTAAAAAGGTTTGATCACTTGTCTTTCTAGGTTTCAGTTTTTAGTTGGTTTCTCTGTGTTTAAAGGTTGTCGCGGCTCTGAGTTTGGGGTGGCACTGTCTTGTGGTTTCCATTGGAATAAGAAATGTAGGTGGTAAGTTTGAAGTTAATATTCACAGCCTGTGTTCTAGAGGAGGTGTATTTCTTCCATCTGTGTTTGAAATGCAGATGCCAAAGCCACAGAAAATCTGACAGAGGCCTTGTTTGGGCCGTTCCTTGGGCATTGCATTGTAACTTAGGCACTTGCTGCCGTTGGGTTCCCCCAGTCTGCCCATCAGGAGTTAGCTTGTAATGTGTTTGAGACGTGTGCCTCACAGTTGAGTATTGATGCTGGGATTTATAGTCTCAAAAGTTAGTATTGACATAAAAATGCAGCCTGATTTGTTTACTCTGGCATTTGACAGTGTCACACCATCAGTCTTGGTGCTGGGCAGGGTTTAGGTTTGAACTTGACTTGCAGAGTTTGTGTATGGCAGCTCGGTAGAGCTGTGGCTCTGTGCTTGCTTGTTTATATAATCTGACTTGCCTAGGAACAGCTGCTTTTATTTCTGACTTCTCAGTCTTTGATAAGGAATAGCTCAAAATCAAGCCTAGTAAACGCAAGGGGTCCCTACTGATCTCTGAGATGAGTGAACTAAAGAGTGAAAGAAAAGAAGAAAATGCAATGGAAACCTGCAGTAATCATGTCAAGTGTTTGTATTGCTGTAAACTGAAGGAACCCTTTGGATGTATGGAGGAGCAGTAGCAGTCTCCCTGTCTTATATTCCTGATGTGACAGGAATGCAGAGCAGGATGTTGGCGAGTGTTTAATCTCAGGTTTGTTGCTGCTGTGGTAGGGGTGGTGGGGGAGGAAGAGGAAGTGTTTTGTGCATGGCTGCTTAGTTTCTGTTTTGCAGGCATTGCCTGTACGCAGTGCTTGTGCTGTTCTGATGTGGCAGCAGCTGTTATTTTTGGCTTTCCCAGCATGCTGTTCGGGTAGACGTACTTTCTAATAGATGCAGTTCTCTTGATTGGCGTGTTGGGGTGCCAGTGCTTCCTATATAGTCCCCATCGGTGTGACCTACTCTGCAGATAGTACTAAGTTGCAAGTTGTTTGCCTTTGTTTATGTAGGCTTGTCTATATGCATTTTGAGTGGCATTAACTGTGTGGCAAAGACAAGCTTCTTTAAGCTTTCTTCCATTTTGCATAACCTGTGTCAGTATGCGGTTGGTTTCATTCACGAAAAATTATTTTATCCCCTTCTCTGGGAGTAAAGGAATAAGCTTTGCTATCATAGGGTGCCTCTCTCTCTGTATAATGCTATCCACGGTAGTTAACATTGTTGCAGTTGTTTCTGTTCAAAAATAACATGGATGTAGCTGCTGTAATTATATTAGTAAAAGATATGTGTCAACCAAATCTGAAAAAAGCAGTGAAAAAGGTTATGAGATGTAACTTGCCTATCCCAGTAGGATGTTACTACACGTGGTTGAGAGCTCTGACAGATAAGCTGTCTCTGATTTGGCTTTTGTAGTTAGAAAGGTTATCTCGTCCACCAGCTGTCCTGCTGCTTTGCCAAACGCTACCTCCCTTGTACTAGCGTCCACAGCAGTGCCTGTTCAGCTGCCACGGTTTAATACATTATGCTTCAACCTTCAACAGGCATGCATCCTGTTTGGCTTCACTGCCTGGCTGGTCATCTTCAGGTGGGGGCAGGGGTCCCCTCAGCCCCAGTGGTATGTTTGGTAAAGAGCGTCTGTTGGAGCCCAGAGGAATGAGTGAGAGCATTTGCAGCCTGAAAGGAGCTTGCTGTGAATTCTGGTCCCAGACTTGAGGGAAAGTGTGCTCTCAAACGTTCTGAATTGATGAGTAAGTAAAGATCTAAATAAAACCTAATTTAGCGCTTGCTAACCCGTTTCCGTACAACATCTTGCAGGCTGACTTGGTTCTGGTGTCCTGCTCCCTCTTGATTGTGAGAGATTGGCTCCATATTCCTGTGACTGCTCAACAGAGAGAGCTTGACTGACATCTCTAAGGTAACTTTTTTCTGTTTTGCCCAGAATACATAAGCAGCCACCTTAAATAACAGGCATAGGGAAATAAGCTGCTTGCTTTTTACCTCTCACTTTGTAATTTTACCCTTCAAGTAAGTGTGTGTAGATATGGTTTGTGGGAGGTATGCTTTTATCTTTGGAGGATACTACAGGAACACTTGGGTAAATGCACTAGAACAGAGTGAAAAACTCAGTCCTGTTTTATATTTGTTAACTTTTAATCAAATCTGTGTCAGTTCTTTGTAGTAAGAAGTAAGCTTACAAGATTAGGAGGCTAACTCTTTTGCTCTGGCAATTCTGGCCATTCAGGTGGCTGAATTGCAGCTGAATTATCTTACATTGATTTCAGAACTCTATCATTGTCTGGTTTTTATTTTTTTTTTCTATTCTGAGCATAGTTTGCTGAAAGATGATAGGTTGGCTTGATAGTTGGCTTTGTGCTGTTCTAAATTTGGAAGAAAGTCTACCATATCTGTTTTCCCCCATTCCTTTATCAACAAAGATATGACTCAGTAGTAGTACCTGTGGTATAAGCATTTGTTTGCCAGCAGACTTGAATAACCTCATTTTCTTAAGAGGCGGTGTGTTTAACTAGGGGTTGTGCAGCACAGTTCACTTTTCTGGTGGGGAGGCCCCTGACCTGTGTGACTAATGGTCTTTGCTAGTTTGAAGTGCAACAGGTAACGACCAAAGATGCTGAGCTCCACAGCTACCTTCCTGGGATAGGGGGAGTTGCTGTCACTTCTCTGCAGGGGATGCTCCTGTGGCTTTGTCACAGCTGACTTAAGTGCTGATCTAAAGCTGAACTATTCTGCAACTCATTCTGCTTTGACATTTCTTTTTTTTTTCCCCTGTAGTTCTATGCTGAATGGCATTTTTGCCGTTTCTTAAACTGCTAGAGTGGGTTTATGCAAAATATAATGTAACCTTTGATTCTGATTAGCATCGCCCACTGTTGGTATCAAAGTATTGTCAAGTGTTGAGTGCTGCACCTGGGGAGGTCGAACCCCATGCACCAGTACAGGCTGGGGGCTTACCTGCTGGAAAGCAGCTCTGCCGAGAGGGACCTGGGAGTCCTGGTGGATGACAAGCTGACCATGAGCCAGCAGGGTGCCCTTGTTGCCAAGAAGGCCAATGGTATTCTGGGGTGCATTAAGAGGAGTGTGGCCAGCAGGTTGAGGGAGGTTATCTTCCCCCTCTACTCTGCCCTGGTGAGACCCCACCTGGAGTACTGTGTCCAGTTCTGGGCTCCCCAGTTCAAGAAAGATGAGGAACTCCTAGAAAGAGTCCAGAGGAGGGCAGCTAGGATGATTATGGGACTGGAGCATCTCCCCTATGAGGAGAGGCTGAGAGAGTGGGGCTTGTTCAGCCTGAAGAAGAGAAGACTGAGAGGGGATCTCATCAATACATGCAAATATCTTAAGGGTGGAAGTCATGAGGACGGAGCCAGACTCTTCTCGGTGGTGCCCAGTGACAGGACAAGGGGCAATGGGTACAAACTGAAACATAAGAGGTTTCAGTTGAATATGAGGAAAAACTTCTGTACTGTGAGGGTGATGGAACACTGGAACAGGCTGCCCAGGGGGGGTGTGGAGTCTCCTTCTCTGGAGATATTCAAAGCCCGCCTGGATGAAGTCCTGTGTAACATGCTCTAGGAGAACCTGCTTTAGCGGGGGGGTTGGACTAGATGATCTCCCGAGGTCCCTTCCAACCCTTGCGATTCTGTGTTTCAAGAAGTGAGTTTGGAAATCTTAGAAAGGCACAGGAAGACAGGGCTGGCTGTTTGTTCTGTGTCCTTTGACAGTACTGTCTAAGCAGCTTAAGCACGTGTGGGGAGGCAGTCATGATCTCATTACAGCTAACTGTAGGCGATAAGCAGCTTCAGGCACCAAAATCAGTGCACCAGTGAATGCAGATGTCGGTGAGTTATTTAAAGCAGGAAGGATTTGGGAGAGAAGCCTAGGGGGGCTACATAGTCCTGTGTCTTAGTCGGTGGCTGAATCAAACCAGAGTAACTTCAATAAAAATGTTGGAGTTATTGCAGAAGATGAGGTATTGTGCTCTGGTCTTGGTTTGAGTACCGTTGTGGATTGTAAGTAAAACTGGTAAAATCCTGGAGCTCCCAAAGACCCTCGCAACACTTGCTGCCTAGTGGAAGGTGTATTTCACTTTTCCAAACTGTGGTCTATGTGTAAAGCTTTGAGGAAGGTATCCCTGTCAGGTTCATGGGGGTTAACTCTTGTCCCACAAATGTAGGGGAAAAAAAAGAGACCTTTTAACTTCAGTCTTTTGAGTCTGTCCTAAAAGAATTGTTAAAGCAGTCTGAAGCTCAGTTTGTGTTGAAACACTACATATGTGGATTTTTTAAGATCATCTCTTAAATAAACACCCCCGCAATAAAACCTACATCAGGTTAATCTTGAATGTGTGGATTTTGCTTAGATTAAATGTGACCATATACAAAATGATTATTCTTGCAAATATTGGAATGGTTTGCTTTATTTCCTGTTTGGACCAAATGTGTGCTTTCTTACGCTGTGCAAGTGGCATTTTCTTGGGTTGGGTACAAATCTTGTTTATGTAATTGAGGTCTTAGTATTTCACACTTCTTACCACAAGCGTTGACCTGAATACGCTTACTAAAATGTAAGGTAAGCTAAATCTGAACCAATAAGCATTATCGGGCATGGTCTATGCATCTTTTATTTTTACAGAACTGAGAGAAAACCTCTAATTCCATTAGTCAGACTGAGTAAGTACCACTGTTGTGCACCGTGCAGAATCTGAATAGTTTTCACTCTTTCTTCTTCAGGTGCTATGCATGCTGGTATTTTTTTTCCCTGTAATACCAGCACTTGGGGTTTCTGTTTTTGCCCCTAATTATTCTTTGCTTTAGCTAAATAAGATAACTATTTCTGTTCCTGTGGTCTGTTCATTAGTCATGTGGCATCCTTAGGCCTTGACACTAGCATGTATTTCAGCAGTTGTGAATATGGTGAACCTATTGACAACTTGTTTCACCTAATAACAAAAAACAGCCATCTTAAAATCTAACTATGATTTGTAAATGCAGCTTGATTCAAATATTCTTTCTTAAAATAATTAAGGATATTGTATCATTCACCAGCCTAAAGTAAACCAAGCTCTTTATTCACTGCAGTTAAAATATCTTCCTGAAACCTGGCAATTAAAGGTTACAACGTAGATTGTGAAGTGTTTCTAGACTTTGTGGGTTTTTTTGTACATCATCCTATTGTGTGATGTGACAACCAGAAGAAAATTCAAAACCTTTTAAAAATTCTGATAAGGTTAATGTCTTGTGGTAGCAAGCTTGGCAGGTTGACTCTTCCATGAGTGCAAAGCAGTTTCTGTTTCAGGTTTGCTATCATTTGCCGTTTTCTTACAATCTTCAGAGAAGAGAACTGCGTGTTATTTTCTACCCGTAGTGCTTGTTAGTCTGTATTTCAGTCTGAGAGGGTATGCTTCTGGCACCTGTTATCCTGTATTGAACCAGAGAAGAAAATCAAAGCATGAATTTGCTTTCCTTAGCTATATATGGCCCATGATGTATTGTAACCCGGATGACTCTAAGAAAACATCTGATTTGGCAGGCTGATGTTTTGCGGAAACTGCACTGCAGTGTTCCAGTATCTTTTAAAGAATTTAAGGTGTGAAAATTCAAGGTAGCTTTTACGCACTTGAGACAGACCTGCTATTAAAAGCAAACTTGCCACAGGCTGCATGTCTTCCAAATGGATGTGCGCTGTGCTTTTTTTAGCATAGGAGGCAAAAGCTGTTTTTTGTATTAATTTATTTATATGCAGGTGTTGCACTTTAATAAATAGATGCAAGCCAATTTGACAGTAGATCAGGTTTAACAAAGCATTTTCTTTTTGCTTTGGCTTTACAGCTCTGTTCCTTAGCCAGTGGCCTCAGTCATAAGTGGCACTCTAGAAAGCTTGTTGGAAAGAGCTTTGAGCTCTACTTCAGCACCTTAACATTCAGATAAGATATTGGAAATTTGTGACCTGTAGAGTGTTTACAAGAACTTGTTTGCAACTGCTGTAGTGAATAGGAAGTTAAATATAGGCTTTGTTTGTTTGATTCTTCACTTCATTTGAAAAGGAGGAGTTTCGTGTTTCAGACCTTCAGAATAGAACTGGCTGGTGGGGTAGAGTATTCAGAGAGGCCTGCTGTCCAGTATCAGTGTATCAGCAGACTAATAATGAAGACTTGGATTATTAAAGGTCCCTTCCTTTGGAAGGAGCTTAAGAAATACAATAGGGTGAATTGTGTTCAGGGACTGCTGCTTTGGCATCTAGCAGCTCCCTTCCCCTCAGATTTTTTTTTTTTTTCTTTTTTTTTTTTTTTTTTTTTCTCAAAGCCATTGGATCCCTTGGAAGTGTGAGGTTTGCTAGAAGGTGGCACCAAAGGATGGCAGTCCTGGCTCCTGGTCTGGTAAAATGACCTTGCAGACATTTTTAAACGCCAAGTTTTGTTTTTTGCCCTTCAAAATGCATAGCATCTTGCCAGGCTTGAAGCTGTGACTGGCCATCCAATTCCTGTATCTTCTGAGAAGATAGCCTCAGGTTCATATTGCCTTTCATTTTCACTCAAGTGGCTGGGTTCTCTGTCAGTTCTTTGCCCTTTACCTTCCAGAGCATACTGCAAGCCACAGAACAACCCTTGAGGTATTTTAACAGCTTCAAGATTTTCACTATGAGTGACTGAGTCATGTAGATTATGCTGATTCCCAGAAGAATAACAGGAAAACAAAAGGCCCAGATCAAAATCCCTTCCATGACCCTGTGTTGTGTGTCATGTATGTTTTGCCATATTGAATTTTCTGATGTCACAAGGGATGCAAGAGTATCCTTACATAAAATTATCTTCGGAGTTGTAGCTAGTTTCAAACAAAATCTGCTGCCTTAGCTTTAAGCGTCATCAGATACTATATCATATATTTTACTTAAATTACATGCTAGTTTTAGTGCACTATCTTTGTCTAAAATATGTTTATTTTAGACTTTTAATTTCCTATCAAAATTAACTTTTTAATTTCCTATCAAAAACCTCAAAACCAAAATGTTGCACTTAATACCTGTATTTTTCCTGGCATTGTTTACTTTCTTGTAGCACCTGCACTGAGATTTCTTTTTTCCCCCCTAACACTGAGCTCAGATTTTTCTCTTTCATTCTCTGTGTTTTTGTTTTGTGGTTTTTTTGTTCATTTTTTTTAGTGGGTTGACCATGCAAGAGAATGTATTGTATATGAGAATGTACCTTTGTTTGTTACTTTCTCATGGAAAAAGTCATAATGAAGTGTCAAGTTGGGAAGTTACAGCTCATGTTTTCTTGCCTGTGACCCTTAAGGGTCATCTGCTTAGGAAAATTAAACAGATATCAAGTAGGGAGGATGGATTTGCAACATGATTATGTGGCTTTAACTCCCTGTGGATGTGCTTATAAGGTCATTTCTGCTCCAAATGCTTGGGACAGCTGCATTAATCAGCATGTTCATCCTTGCCTAGTGCAGCTCTGCCAGTGGAATCCCTTAATGTAGATACAGTTACAGTGATAAAACTGCACTTTTAAAATAAAGCTTGTTTTGTTGGGGGTATTGAAAGGGTACGCAGTGATGAGAGTGCTTTTTTTGACAGTGACTAGTGCTTTTTCCAAGGAAAGAAGGATTCGGTAGAAAAAGTAGGGCCCCAAAATATGTCTCTTCCAGCCAAATTAATTTTTTCATCAGCAGTGTACAAATAGAAGGGGTTGCAGCAGGAGAGGAGGGCATCTTCTATCAGTGGGTCTAAGAAAAGATTTTACCTATCCCTACAAACCTTGCTATATTTATTACAGAATGGGTGTCTATTTGGCATTGCAGGGCAACCTGCGGTTCCCTTTCCTCATACAATAAATAAAGCTGTGTCCTAAGCATTGATATAATCTGGAGTACTGTACGTCTGTCCGCTTTGTATTTCTCTGCCTCTCTGACCTTTTTCAGATGCTTAAGAAAGTCCTAAATTTTGTTTAATATCAGTGTCTTGGAACTACATTAGCAGAAGAAATCACTAGATAACAGCTGCTCCTTGTGCTTTTGGCACAAGAATTTGTTTACCAGGGTGAAGTGAATTTGTTTGGATAGTCTTGCTTTTATGCTCTTATTTCTTTCTGTGGAACTGATGTGCTCCTAGATTCTCCTTTTCTGTTTCTACAATTTGAGCAGGAAAGTTGCTAAAGGGTTTGGTTCTTCAGCCAAACAGCACCACATTCACTTGAAAGAGGTGCCCTAATTTGAGTCTGTATTAACAAACTCAATTCAGTTGTTGCTGGACTAGGACAGACGTTCTTAAAATCTTGATAATTTAATTATTAGGTAAGACTTAAGTTGACCTGGAGTGCAAGGGGCTCACAGAAAATAAAATGATCACCAAGCTGCAGTCTTTTCAAAACAGTATACAGCTAGTTTACTTGACTGTCCTGCTGTTCCTTTCTGTAATGCGGTTTTGTGGATGGCTGAAGTACACCGGGACTGAGTGGTTTGACCAAGATCATTGAAACATTCAGTGAAGCATCAAAACCAGTAGTCTATTCCTAGTTGTTTTCTTTCTGTTTGGATGACCTCAGATAGGTTACGATTATCTAAAGAATCTCTTAACCAAATCAACTGTGAGTGCGTTGCTGACCTGTTAAACTTCAATGGAGAGATGTAAGAATTGCTGTATTTCTCCTGGCTTTTTTTGTTCAGACAAAAGCTGGACTGTCCAGTAAAACCACATGATGCCATTTGAGGCCTGCCAAATATAAGTGTTGTCAGCTTCCCCATGTAGAAAAAGACAAATGTAGCTGAAAAAAAATGTTTGTTCAGCTTTATCTGTGCAGTAAGACAGAGAAGGAGAAAATTCTAATGCCTGTGCCTCTCTGTTCACTCTCAAACTCAGTCCTGACTGCTGAAATGCCCTTGTATATCTCTGCCTGCATAGGTGAGATTAAAGTCCTCTTGGGTAGTGAAATTCCAGCTTGCATGAGGCTGTGAAGCTTACTGTTACTACCTTGTTTTGCATGGAGGGGTAGGTGGAGCTTATGCAGACATTGTATTGAAGTCTGAGTATTAATATTTTTGTTCAAAGCTGCTGTTTGTGTGTCATCTGCAGTTTTGGCAGACCTTCCTCAGGTCAGGTTGCTACTCTGGTGTGCTCTGGTGGTGACAAGAGGCAGGGGTAGAACCCATGCCATGGCGAAGCATGCGTTTGTTTCTGGCCACAAGTGACAAAGATGGGCATAGTACTGATGTTTGCTTGTTTGGGTCTTAAGCTTGTTCTCTCTTTCTAACAGCACTGTTGTCAGTGTTGTACTGAATGGGCATTGCTACAGAGATGTAGTCCACAGTTCCTTTAAGGGAGCCAGTTGCTTGGAATCCCTTTATCTAATGTTGTTCACTTCCATATAATTAATTCTCAGGCGGCTCAGAAAAAGGGTAATGTATAGATTTGAGGAGGAGATGGATCAGAGTGGTGTCACAGCCCACAGCATATCATAGAAATTGTAAAGCTGCTTTACAGTGAGCTTGAAGCAAACCGAATTAAATGCTGGTTTTGAAAGGCCTTAAGGGTGAGATTAGCTTGCTTGTGAAGGTTCTTCATGGCAAGTTTGTGTTTGGCTTTGATGCGTAACTCTCAGACTTCATAGGTTTAAATCTAGATGTTGTCCTAATTCCTAGGAAACAAAACATTCGTGCTGCTTCCTGAGTACTGGAGCCAGCTTCTGCTCCTTACCATCTGACTTTGCAAAGGGAGGGGAGAGCACAGAATGTGTCTTTGCTCACAATGTGCTCCTTGGATAGAGTTCCTGGATTTCTACTGCAGGGTCAGTCTCTTCAAAATGAGAAACTTTTCTCTTCGCAGATCTTAAATGGCTGCTTAACAGTAGCCGTGCTCCATTCCTTTGGAAATTCCCTTCTCCTTGTCACAGCTGGGAGTGGGATGGGGGTGTCTGCTTAGCTTTCCTCCTCAGTAGCCCATGTGCAAAAGCAGAGACAAAGGAAAAGTGTTTGAATACCTGCTTAAGTTTTCTGAGTAGCAGAGTATTGCAGGACTGCACTCTGGAGGTGAAGAGGAAAGTGCAATGCTTTTTTTTTTTTTTTTATTTTAAATGCTATGAAATGCAAAAATGTATGGACAAACAGTAGCACAATGTTTTCCTTGTTAGCAGTGGTAGGAAGAGGAAGGTCTGTTTGCCTTTTGCATTTACGATCTCAACATAAATACATGGGGCAGCAAGTCACTGCAAAGGGTTTTTTGCTTGTCAGGTCTCAGTCAGCAGCTTAATAGAATGTGATTTTAGTAACTTGTGGTGAAGGTTTATGAGCAGTTAGTGCATATCATGCAAATTTTGCTGTAGTTGCTATCTTTATTTTGTTTTATTTTGAGGAAGTAAGTAGTGGAGATATTAGGGTAAAGGACAGGGAATCTGCATTGTGCATCTGCGTTCTGACCTGAGAAATGAATTGGCTTAGTCATAACAGTTGAGCTGTAGTGAGTTGTCAGGCCATTTTCTGGCAGACATGAGTTTCTGTCAGTGGCTTAAGTGTATGGGTAAAGAAAATAGTTTGAGTCTGTCTCTGCTGCTGAAGGAGATGTACTTAATAATATCCGTGTCTTTGCTGAAGGGACTCCTGCTTGAGGCAAAAGCTCTTTCTGGTTTTCTTTTGGTCATTTGCCCAAGTAAACAATTCTATCATTGGAAATAGATACTGAAGTTTTCAAATCCACCTTGTTCCCAGAAGGGGGCAGGGGAGACTTGCGAGTTCTGGAGTCCGATAAAACATACTTTTGTTTGCTTGTGTTATCCTTCCGTGCTAGCTTTCAGGCACAGCGGGCACTGCAGTGGCTTTGGCAGTGTGAGCATGGCACAACGAGGCGCCTGCTCAAAGCCAGAAGCCTGCAGTGATGACCTGGGCTGCAAGTGTTTTATGTGCTTTGGTTCTTCTTTCTCTTGGGGAGCATTTGAACAGCTTTGAGTTTTCTCCTGCTGTTCCTCCTCATCTGATACTCTGAGATGTAAAAACCATGAGAATATGGAGTCGTCATAAAGCATCTCCTTTTCTATATCTAGAGCTCTCTGGCTAGTTGGCATCTAACTGGGTAACAATCTTTGTTCCTTATTCCATCATCTAGACTTTTCTTCTTAATTAAAGCTGAAAAGAAGCTTCTCCATAAAACTTCCTTATGGATTTTCAGGAGGGCCTAGGTTTGCTCTTTACAGAGCTGACTTCCCTTTGCTAAATTCACTCAGTCTGGCCGACAGTGAGAAGGCAGCTTTTTTGCCAAACGTTTTAGAAATGGGGTCATGCAGCTCTCCAGCAAGTTGGTTTTACATCCTGTGAAGAGACCTGTGGTTTCTTTGACAACCTGGAATACAGTCAGAACAAACTCAGCTATGTTAGTCTGCATCTCTGTCTGAATTGTGGGAACAGCTACTTTCAGGACAGTGTTTATTACAACATCCCTGGTAATTATGACGTAGCTTCTATGTCTACTTCAGCAGTAAAAGGCTCAACAAAGATGCTGCTGAACGAGGTGGCTGGCTTGAGTGATGGTTGGCACAGACTTGCTTGAGGTATTCAGTGCTTTTTACGCATAAGTCTTCAGTGGTAAGATCTCCTGGGCTCCTGTGTTTAGAGGCAGGGTTCAGAGAGGAAACAGCAGTCAAAAGCAAATGAAAACAGAGCGAGGGAGGATTACTTGAGAGAATTTGAGCTGTGTGAGTCTATGGGACCTGATGGGCTGCACCCAAAGGTGCTGAGATGGCTGTGTCATAGTGATGCCAGTCTTGGCCATCTTTGAAAGAGGTGCTGGGATGTTGCTAATCACTTCACAAAGGCAAATGTTGGGCTTGTCTTCAAAATAGGTCCAAAGGGTAATCCAGGGACCTACAGGCTGGTCAGCCTCACTTCAGTCCCGGGGATGGTCGTGGGTCAGGTCCTTCTGGTACACCTTTCTGGGCATGTGAAAGAATGTAACTGGGAACAGTCAGTATGGATTTACCAAAGGTAAGTTCTGTGTGACCCACCTCATTGTCTTCTGTGATAAAATAATCGGATTTGTGGATGAGGAAGAGCGCTAGAGGCCGTTTAGCTTGAGTATACGGAGTGTTTTGATGCTCTCTCCCACAGTGTTCTTGTGTGCAAGTTGGGACATTACAGTCTGGATGGGTGGAGTATGAATTCAAGCACATCAGGGAGTTCTGAAGAGTAAATGGAGTCAGAGGAGGATGAACTGGTGATTTGTAGAGAAAGCTCTTTCCACACAGCAGGACAATAGCTTCTGAAAGTAGGCTCTTAATCAGTCTGTCTTTTCCTCCTCAATGTTGTTTTTTGCCACAATGTGATAAGAATGGATGGAAGGCAGTGTTTAAGAGTCTGTCTGGTTGAAATTCATCAGTCTTGCTTATTAGTGGTGTAGGAAATTAATCTGTCTTTTCTTGGGGGGTGGGGTTTGACATGAATGTTCTTCAAGATTACCTTGTTTTTCACTCAGTCATATGTGTGTATGTGATAGCCACTGAACTACAGTTAAGTACGATACATGGCAGTTTTGGAGATTTTAGTGATATGCGACTTAAACTGCCACGGAGAACGTGTGGAACGCTGAGAGGTTAGTTTGTAAAGAAGAAAAACAGTTGCTCAAAGCACGAAGTAATTTCTTTTTCATCAGGTTACAGCCTCTTTGGGTTTGACCCACTTTCTGGTATATAAAAGGTGAGCTGGAGGTTTTCCGTCAATCTGGATCTACTGTGTACTTTGATTTCTCTTCAGTGTTCCTAAGATACTAGGGAGCATCTGATAATCTTTTGGGGATTACCAGTCTGGAAAGAACACTGTTTCATTAGAGCTGGATAGGCTCAGATATATCTGCTTGTGCCCAAGGAACTGTAATTGCAAAATTCAGTATATGATGCTTGCTTTGGGATTTTTTTTTTTTTTCCTTTCCATTATTGCTGTTACTGCCTCGCTGCAGCCAGCGGTATGCTTTGGCATTAAGAATTCAGTTTAAGCTATCTAGTGTGGTAGTGTGCTAAATTAAGGTGCCAGTTATGAGCGAAGAGGTTAATGGTCTTACATAATGTTTGTCTTGAGGTTTTTTGTTACTGCAGAATTAAAAATAGCAATTAGAAGTTCTGTTTTGTCCTAGTTGTGGATTTTTCTGTGGAAATCAATTATCTGCAGCAACTGCCGTTTTTTTAATCAAAGCTGGTTTTTCTGTTTTAAAAGCGTCATAATTCAAAAGTTGAGAACAATACTAAAAATCCAAGTTCACTGCAAGCTGCTTATGTTTCATCTTTCAGTTAGTGTTCTCCTGGAAAGCTGTAGATCATTCTTATTTTATCAAAACTACTTAAGGAATGCAATTTGAGCTCCTCTGCTTTTACAGCTTTTGTAATAATTCTTCATGGCTTTAGCTCCTTGTGGCTTTTGTGCTTCTGTGGTTAACCCTATAACTTCTCTGCACAGTAATTGGTTAAAGCTCTTAACTCTTGGCTTCACTTAGCTATTGCACTGTGTAGTCTGAAACAGCCAAAACCATGGAGTGTTCTTACGGTTGCATCTGAGAAGATAGTCTGCTGTATTAGCCACGTACCTTTTTTCCTTCTGAGAACATTTTGCATTTGTCCCAAATTGGAACTGACTGTATCCATTGGGATGAGCTTGTATATGTGTCTGATCTCATCCTGCATCTCTATTCAGACAGATTCTACATCCAGGCTGGCAATGTGTTCCTACCTGCAAAGACTAGACATGAAGAGAAACCTTAGCAGTTTTCATAACTATGGAATTCATAATGCATTTTAACTTTGTATACTTTATGAAGGAAAAACCAGATATGTTCACCTGCATGGCAGCATAGAGTGCTTCACATCTGTGTGCTGTTAAGTGGCAAAGGAAATGATCTGGTTACTGTTGTCTAGGGATCATTCAGGACTT